TCCTCTGAGTCTCGTATGCTGTTCTCTTTCCTTCTAGTTGAAGAATTTCCCCTCAGTCAGTCTTCCTGTGGTTCTGGGCGATGTCCATTCTGTCTTTTAGTTGTATTTTTGAAGTGGTTGTTCAAGGCAGCTAACTCCAGTGTTTACCTATGCCGCCATCTTGGTCCCCCCTCCCCCCGAGTATATTTTAAAAGTCTTTTTCTTCTAGAGCTACATACTAAAATATTTACAGATGAAAAAATGATGTTCTATATTTCACCGAAATAATACAGTGAGGATAGAGAGTAGGAAGAGGGCATGTGAAATACCGAGTTGATAACTGTTGAGAATTTGTGATAGCTATATGGGTTCATTATATTGTTCTATTTGTGAACATTTAAAAAATTTTTTCATAATAAAAACTGAAAAAATAAAGATATATATCGACATACACACACATACAGTGTAGATTACATCACATTCCTCAATGTAGACCACTCTGGGTCTAAGTTGGAAAACACATTAATGCTTATAATGAGTATTTGAAAATTACTTATAAAGGATATTTGAAGGAGAAACAGATGAAAAATTAAATTTATTGAAATAAAGGTTTGAAAATGTACAATTTAAAACCAAAGTGGCCTGGCCATTGTAGGTCAGGGATTGAACGTCAACCTATGAACCAGGAGATCACGGTTTGATTCCTATCAGAGCATATGCCTGGGTTGCCAGTAGGGGGCATGCAGGAGGCAGCTGATCAATGATTCTCTCTCATCATTGATGTTTCTCTCTCTCCCTCTTCCTTCCTCTCTGAAATCAATAAAATGTATTAAAAAAGAAAACCAAAGCAAATTATTTAAAAAAATATTTAGGATGATAGTGAAAGAGAAATTTAAGATGACAGATGAAATTACCAAGAAGTTGTAAGAGTCAACAGTAAATGATCTTGTTAATGAGCTGACTTCACCCAAGGCTAATACTAGTTTAGAGGGGCAAAAGGGAGTTTCCAGGATTAGTCTTTCCTTGCCTTTTTTTTTTTAAAAGACATATAGTTACAAACGATTTTCTTTTCTTTTCTTTTCTTTTTTTTTAATAATCTTTATTGATTTCAGAGAGGAAGGGAGAGGGAAATAGAGACAGAAACATCAATGATGAGAGAATCATTGATTGGCTGCCTCCTGCAAAGCCCCTACCCGGGATCAAGCCCGCGACGTAGGCATGTGCCCTTGACCAGAATCCAACCTAGGACCTTTCAGTCCCCAGGCTGATGCTCAAGCCACTGAGCAAAACCAGCTCGGGCTTTTTTTTTTTTTTTTTTTTTTAAGAGTAAAAGGAAGATAGTAGGTTGACCTTTCAAGGCCTCTTAAACGCCTTTGACAGAAAATTATTTGAGTGATCTAGTTTCAATAATGCCAGCAGGTGGCGCATTCCTTTTTTTTTTCAAGCTAAGAAAAACTTGAGAACCATTATAAATACAAAGAAATAAAGAAATGCTGCCTTTTCATTCTTTGTATTTTGCTTGTTTCAGGGAAAATAATAAGAATATAAGGAAAATAATCTTTGTTTTGGTAATTCTTTTCTACTTTAGTGAGAACTTGAATTTTGTATTAAATTGCTAAATAATTCCTGATTTCATTTTTTTCTACAGTAAAATATACCTAATTGAAATTCCAAGCTTTCTAATCTTCACATTGTAGGATATCTTAAGATGCCACAGGTCATTAAGGCAGATTGATTGCCTTGATTGAATCCCTGCTATATCACTTACTAGTTTGTTTTTGTTTCTTGTTTTTTACCTTGGACAAGTTACTTAAGCTCTCTGTGTCTTAGTTTTCTCTTATGCACAATGGATATTCTAAGGTTATTGTAAGGATGAAATGAATTAATAGGTTTAAACCATGTAGATAGAAGTAGATAACCTTGAAATAATGAAAGTTGGATATGTGTTTACATATGTGGCTAATTCTTCTTATATGCACCTTCATAACCTAAGAGAATATCCTGTGAAGTTGGTAATATGGGATTCTTTTTGCTTTTCAAGAAGAAATATTGTAAATGTGGTTGCTAATGGCTGTATCCCACTGGCATATTTAAAGTAAGGGAACATGCTTGCCATTTCCTTGGAATTGTTTACTATTTGGATTTTTAAATTCTTTATTTAATCGGTGGTTTAGAAGCTATTAACCTAAGTTGAGCCCTTAAATTATATATGTGCATGAAACACCTATAAAATCACTAATTTGTAGATATCTATAGTCTCTCTTTTGGATTTCGTTATGATTTTTAAAAATACACATTTATACTCTCATTTAGTCATTAGGTCTTTTCCTAGGCAACAAAAGATTAAACAAGCAGAAGCCCCTAAATTTTTGAATTATGAAAATGGGGTCCTCATATAAAAGAAATTAAGGAATCACTACATTAGTGGCTCCATACATAAGAAAATTCTTGTAACTTTACATTAAATATATTGTCAATCTTCATCTCTTAATCAAAATTGTAGAGAGCATTCTCTCCTGGATTTCCCTTAACCCGAAAACCAAAGCTCCACCTTTGGGCGGCGGGGGCGCGCCTGTCCGGAGATAAACTACAACTCCCAGAATCACTGGGTGGGTGCTCCTGGGAGTTGTAGTACATTCTACCTTCCCGGCCCACCTCCTCGCGCCCCGGCCCTGCACCCTGGCCGGCGCCCTGGCCGGCGCCCTTGCGTCACAACCCTCGTCCTGGACTTCCGCTCGGGGTAAGTATGCCATGTGATTGCCTCAGGGGAATTTTTCTCTCCTTGTAATTTTTTCTTAATCTTTCTTGCTTTCATGTTTCTCTTCTGTTTCCTCTTTCACCTCATTGTTTTAACGAAAGCCCAATCACTATGGAAAAAGTGTCCACATGAAGGTGAAGACGGGAATCAATGATTAACCCGGCAGCCGTGACCCAGGAAATGAAAGTGATTCCGTGCCTTTCCGGCTGAAATGTACCGGGTTAGAGAAGGTTCCGACCTCAGTAGGAAACACTGACGCCTTTTTTATTTTAAATACTCACAATCCCTTTCTCTTTCATGATCTTAAAAGGGTTTGTTTTTTTTTCTTTCCAGTTTATTTTCCATGTTCCCTTCTTATGGGATCACTCCATATACGTGTTTCACAGTACGGCTGACACGTGCTGCGCGCGCCGGGATTTTTGTCGCGCCTGACGCGCGGACCCTGAGAGTTGTTGGAGGGGACCAGGGATTCTGTTAGCGGTGGTCGGCGGCGGAGAAAGCTTGCTGTTCTCAGGTATAACCCCAGCCTAGAGAGTAACCGTCTTGGCTTGTTGCCCAATTAACACTGAGGTTCATGACCTTGAGAATTATTCTACTCTTCCTAAGATGGAAATTTTAGCCAGAAGTGTTACAACAAATATTTACCACCCTTTTAATTCTGTCCGTTTTCAAATGGACACATCTCTGACGTGTTTGGGACGAGATGTAAAGACGCACAGACACTTCTGCTGGAGGACGTAACTTTCGTGGTTACTGGGCATAGATGTGTTTGTCCACAGTTCCTTTTTGAATGTGATTCCGTCTGTTAAAGTTCATTAGTAGAACCCTGCAAATTTTTAATATTTTGTTTTCTGGGTGATAATGATATATAAATTAGTAGACTTATAATGATCGATAGAGCTAATAAATGAATGCACCGCCTAGCAGTAGGAACACCAGAGACAATAAAGGTTGATTTTGGTACATTTTGACCTTTATTTCAACTTTGAACCACAGGATTTTTAGGGGCAAAGTTTTCTTCTTGGAACCCTTTCATACTCAGTAAAACGATTGTGTACGTTTGTTAGCTCTTAATTATCTCTGCTAGAGGGGAGGAGAACAGATAATTATTGTACACAGCCCATTTCACCTAGCTTGTAATTTTTTCCTTTTTAAGTTGTAATTTTTTAAAGTAACTTTTCTTGATTGTAAAAGTAATACATACTATAAATATAGGAGACTAGGAAAACACTAAAAAGTAGAAAAAATATAAAGCAAGCAAAAGGTATCAGTAATCCCACAACTAGAAACCATCTTAACATTTTGATATATTTATATTTTAGTTTTCTTTTTTCAAAATATTCTGTACCTTTTTTACTTGTATACCATGTATTGTAGATAAAATTAGAAAATGTAATTGAGATTATACTGTTTTGTATAGTTGATCCTTGAACAATATAGGGGTTATAGGCAACAACTGCCCAGTCAAAAATCTATATATATAAAAGGCTAATGTGCAGAGTGTCCCCTTGGGAATTTGACTGGGAGAATAGGAGTTCAATTGCTCGCTATGACGTACACTGATCACCAGGGGGCGGCATGGAACATGGCGGGAGACCAGCTGCAGCAGGCACTGAGGGATTGAGAGAAGGAGGAGGCAGAGAACCTGATCAGCCCTGATCCCCAGCCAGGCCTAGGTACCCTACCTGTGCATGAATTTCGTGCACTGGGCCTCTAGTTCATGTATAACTTTTGACTTCCCCAAAACTTAATTACAGTCATCCCTGAGTACACATGTTGTAGGACCCCCACAGATACCAAAATCCCAGTTGCTAAATCCTTTATATAAAGTGGTATAGAACAATGCATACAATTGACTCTCTGCCTCCACGGATTCCCAACAATGGTTGGTTGAATCTGCAAATGCAAAACCGGATACAGAGGGCCGATAACATATTTATTGAAAAAAATCAGGATGTTGTGGACCCGTTGTAATTCATACCCATTTTGTTCAAGGGTCAACTGTAATTATTACCATTGTCCCTTTTTACCAGACCTACTTTCTTAGTCTGTTAATATTTGAAGCTTTCTTCCTTTAGGATTTCAGCTGAAGGGATCATCCTTTTAAAAAATGTTTTTATTGATTTTTAGAGAAAGAAAAGGGGAGAGGGAGTGAGGGAGAGGGGGAGAGAGAGAGAGAGAGAGAAAGGAAAGAAGGAAGGAAGGAGGGAGGGAGGGAGGGAGGGAAGGAAGGACAAAAGAAAGAAAAAAAGAAAGAGCAAGTGATTGGTTGCCTCCTGTGCACAGGCTGACTAGGAAGGAATTGATTGGTTGCCTCCCATATGCACCCCGACCTAGGACCAAACCTGCAAACTGGACATGTGCTCTAACCAGGCATCAAAACGGTGGTCTTGCCAAAACCGGTTTGGCTCAGTGGATAGAGCGTTGACCTGCGGACTGAAAGGTCCCAGGTTCGATTCTGGTCAAGGGCATGTACCTTGGTTGCTGGCACATCCCCAGTAGAGAGTGTGCAGGAGGCAGCTGATCGGTTTCTCTCTCATCGATGTTTCTAACTCTCTATCTCTCTCCCTCCCTCTCTGTAAAAAATCAATAAAATATATTTAAAAAACAAAAAACAATAACAAAAAAAAAAACGGTGGTCTTTTGGTACACAGGACAACATTTAATCAACTGAGCCACACTGATTTGGGCAGGGAAGCATCTTTAAAGAGTGATTGTAGACTTGAAAGTGAAAGCACTGAGTTCTCAATAGGAAACTTGCATTCTAGAATCAGCTCTGTCTCTGTCTGGCTGAGTAAATAATCATGATTAAATTACTTCACTTCTTGGACATCTGGATTCATCAAGTGCTTGTTCACGCACTTAATTCTGTATTCTGAATACTTTCTATAAAAATAGCTGACTGATTTAACACATTCTATTGATATATTTATTGGTTACACTCTTACTTTTGCCTTAATTATATATATATATGTTGAGTGGGTAGAAAAAAGTGCTTTGTGCTTTCTTCATTTATTTTAATACACTCTTTTCAGAGGTTTGAGGAATTTTTTTATTTTTATGAGTTATGGAATTTGAGAACCATGTATGGAGCTGGCTCAGGGAGTGAACTGAACAAGATTTCTTCAGGTTCCTTCCAGCTATATTATATCTGCAGAGTTGGGGTTTTTTTTCCAGATTGTGTTTATTTGTTTTATTTCAGATGCTGAGATGAACCGTCACCTCTGTGTTTGGCTCTTTAGACATCCATCTCTTCATGGTCATCACCAGTGCCACATCCACCCCCTTTTTCATCAATTTACACAGATACATCTTGATACAAGGCTGGGGGTTTTTAGACAAAACAGGAATCACCTTCTCTATAGTCTGTTAATTAAGAATTGCTCTAAGAGATTCTGTCATCAAAACACCAAGATGCTCTGGAAGCATAAAGCATTACAGAAATATATGGAGGACCTGAATAAGGAGTACCAAACACTTGATCAGTGTTTGCAGCATATCTCTGTAAATCAAGGGGACCAAAGGTCCTTGAATCAAAGACATGCTGAGTTGGCACCACTTACAGCCATTTACCAAGAAATTCAGGAGGCCGAGAAAGCAATTGAAGAATTAGAATCAATGTGTAAAAGTAAGTAAAAGATATGTGTGTGTATAAGTACAGGATTGATTTTCTAAGTTAAATGAACTTAAGTCTTTTAAAAATATATATTTTTAATTAATTTCAGAGAGGAAGGGAAAGGGAGAGAGAAGTAGAAACATTAATGATGAATCACTGATTGGCTGCATCCTGCATACTCCACACTGGGGATTGAGCCCACAACCTGAGCATGTGCCCTATCCGGGAATCGAACTGTGACCTCCTGGTTCATAGGTCGACACTCAACCACTGAGCCACACTGACTTTATTTTTGAAAGTATCATAGCTGTCCCCCCCCTTTTTTTTTCTCCATTGACCCCTTCCACCTCACTCCTGCTCCCAAAACTCAGTCTTTAAAAAGCCTACAGGTAATAAGCTCTACACTTGGAAAGGATAGGACTTTGTATTCTGGATGTTTGAAGTATTTCAACTACTAAGAGACTAAGCTCCTTGTGGTGCTTGCCAGGAAGTTTTTAGGGTCTGGGAGACTTATTTAGAAGCTTTTTCTTTTTTTTTAAAATATATTTTATTGAGTTTTTACAGAGAGGAAAGGAGAGAGATAGAGAGTTAGAAACATTGATGAGAGAGATACATCGACCAGCTGCCTCTCGCACACTCCCCACTGGGGATGTGCTCACAACCAAGGTACATGCCCTTGACCCGAATCGAACCTGGGACCTTTCAGTCCGCAAGCCGACGCTCTATCCACTGAGCCAAACCGGTTTCGGCTATTTAGAAGCTTTAATTTATTGAACAGACCTTTACTGAGCACTGCCCTACAGTGCTACATACCAACGATACAAAAGTGTAGTTCCTACCCCCATCAAAGGGTTTATTTGGTCTAGGTATTATTTCATCACCTTTTAGCCATCTCATCCCAATCACCCCCTTCCCTACTAGCCATAGGCAGTCTCTAATCTACTTTCTGTTTCTTTAGATTTACTTATTTCAGGCATTTTTTATAAAAAGAATCCTATAGTATGTGTCCTTTATGACTGGCTTTTTTCACTTAGCATAGTATTCTAAAGGTTTATGTATGTTGTAGCCTGTATCCATACATCATTTTTTAATTGCTGAATTATGTTTCATGGTATGGTTATACCGCATTTCTTTTATCCATTCATCAGTTGATGGATATTGAGTTATTGAGTTGTTTTCACTTTTTTATTATTATGAACAATGCCGCTAGGAACATTGAGTACAAGTTTTTGTGTGGACATAGATTGCTGAGTGTCTCATAACTGTTTAACCTTTTGAGGAACTGACAGACTGTTTTCCAGGCTGCACCATTTTCATTCCATCCCCAGTGTCTGAGGGTTCTAATTTTTCCACATCCTTGCCAATCCTTGTTATCTGCCTCTTTGATTCTAGTGATCCTAGTGAGTGTGAAGTGATATCTCCTTGTGATTTTGATTTAACTTCTTTTTTTAAAATTAAAAAATATCTTTTTCAAATATGTTGTTTATTTTACAGAGAGAGAGGAGGGAACGAGATAGAGAAAAAACATGATGTGAGAGAGAAACCTCCTGCATGTACCCTCCTGGGGACCAAGCCCAAAACCCTGGCATGTGCGCTTGACGCAGTCAAACCCGGGACCTTTTAAGGTGCATGGGATGATGCTCAGCCAACAGCCACACTGGCTAGAGCTCATTTGACTTTCCCTGATTGATGATGTTGAGCGTTTTGGGGTTTTTTTGTGCCTATTTGTCATGTCATCTTTGGATAAATGACTGTACAGATCCGTTGTCTATTGAGTTATTTGTCTTTTTGTTACTGATTTGTAAGATTTTATGTTATAGACACAAGTTCTTTTTATTTGTTATTTTTATTATTGATTTGAAAGAGAGTGAGGAAGGGAGAGAGTGAAACATTGGTTTGTTGTTCCATATATTTATGCATTCATTGATTGATTCTTTTATGTGTCCTGACCAGGGATTGAACTCCTAATCTTGGGTATCAGGGTGACACTCTAACCAAGTTGAGCTGTCTGGCCAGGGCCAGACAGAAGTTCTTTATCAGATAGTTGATTTCCAGAAATTTTTCTCCCATTCTGTGGGTTGTTCTTTGAAGCACCACACTTTTAAATTTTGATGATGTCCATTTATCTTTTTATTCTCTTGTTGCTTATAATTTTGGTGTCATATTATCTAAGAAACTATTATATAATCTAAGGTCACAAAGTAGTATATCTTTGTTTTCTTCCAAGAGTTTTATATTTTTATAAAACTCTTATATTTAGGTCTTTGATCTACCTGAGTTAATTTTGTATATGATGTGAGAGCTATTTATTTTTAATTTCAGTATATTTTAAGTGTTTATTAATATTGCTATTGTCTTAGTAATTTTTCTCTTAAGAAAATTTTTCACAATATGCAGAAATTGAAAGAAAAGTAATGTTTCTAAATTCTCTTCTAGGCTTATAGTTCTGCTATTCTATAATAATAGTGATACCGGCTACATTTACTCTACAAAAATGGAAGCTTTAGCCATGCTAGATTACTCAGAGTGTGCTGGGTAATGATTGCCACCTTTAGACAAGAAATGGCTACCCCAGTTTACTCCAAAACATCGTATTTGGGTTTGTATTTAATTAGCCAGTCCCTGTTTGAGTAATCACTGTTTTCTATAATTACTTATAGACATTCAAATCATAAGCTGTTGGGGCAAGATCATGCTTCTTTTCGAAAACACGGGAATTTTTGGACGTACTTTACAAATACTTGTCTATTGATATTCTCTTAACTATTCTAACTGTTCTTTTGTATAATTTCTTGCCTTCACAACTGAAATAAAACTTAGTAGGCAGAGATTAGGTAGCTATTTAAGAGTTTTCCTGTAAGTATTTAAAACTTTTACATTACTGTTGTTGGTTTGTAGGTCTAAATAAACAAGATGAAAAGCAGTTACAAGAACTTGCATTGGAAGAGAGGCAAACCATTGCTCAAAAAATTAACATGTTATACAGTGAGGTATGTTTTAGAAGGTAACTGATCTCAATAGTGTTAATATACGCTAGATTATGCACTGGTGCTCAAAGTACTTTCCAAACACCAGTTATTAAATCTTCTCTTACAATAAGGGTTTGGATTGGGTTTAGTTCTGTAATTTGCTACAGAATGAGATTGAAGGAATTGTGATAGATGTCAATGAATAAAAACTCCCCCACCCCCAGCAGCAATATTCTAAAGTTGAATCTGTTAACTTGCCAGGCAAGGGAACACATGTTGATAAAGAAATTTAGTTCACCAAGAGGAAGCATCAGGGGTTTTTAAGTCTTAGAAAGGAGGAATGGTTCATGGTGATTGTGTTAATTAAGGATTGAAAATTTGCATTCCAGATAAAATGGAATGAATCCAAAGATCTAGAGACAGTTGATTAACACAAGTCTTTAGCTCCTTACAGCTCAATGGATGATTTGTCTAAAATCACAGAACTGTATACCATGTTCCCTTCTGTCATATTTGCCATCTCCTGCCTTCAGTCTTCCCTATTCTGGGAATCCAGTAGAGGAGCTTTGTGAGGTGCTGAAGGGGATCAGTTGGAGGTATTTAACCAACTAATCAAAGTAAGATGTCTGACTCTAATATTCTCTCCCATAGACTAGATCATTTTTAGCAGAGATGGAGTATTTTAAAAAATTGACAGTAGGGCCCTAACCAGTTTGGCTCGGTGGATAGAGCATTGGCCTGCGGACTGGAGGGTCCCTGGTTCAATTCCGGCCAATGGCATGTACCTTGGTTGTAGGCACATCCCCAGTAGGGGGTGTGCAGGAGGCAGCTGGTTGATGTTTCTCTCGCATCGATGTTTCTAACTCTCTATCCCTCTCCCTTCCTCTCTGTAAAAAATCAATAAAATATATATATATATTTTTAAAAAGAATTGACAGTAGGGAATATCATGACCCATAGGTACTTTTAGTTTGATTTGAAAGACCTTTCAGTAATAATAAAAAATGAAATTACTTCCCTTTTCTTCCTAAGAAGAAAGTTGGTTACTTTCTTTGTTAGGATGCTCCTTTTTTTTTTTTTTTTTTTTTAAATCTCAGCTAAGAAACTATTTGAGCCTTGTCTTGGGAGTCTTCAGCATCCTCTTTAAACAAAGCAACTCTACTGAGAAGGCAGGGCACAGCCTAGTGCAGTGATGGTGAACCTTTTGAGCTCGGTGTGTCAGCATTTTGAAAAACCCTAACTTAACTCTGGTGCCGTGTCTCATATAGAAATTTTTTGATATTTGCAACCATAGTACAACAAAGATTATACTTTTGATATTTATTTTATATATTTAAATGCCATTTAACAAAGAAAAATCAACCAAAAAAATTAGTTCACGTGTCACCTCTGGCACGTGTGTCATAGGTTTGCCATCACTGACCTAGTGCTTGCTGTCATTTATGGCAGGAGAGAATGTGCAATCATGTGAGAAATGATGACTTCCAAAGCTTTACTTTATTCATTAGATGAAAGAAGTTATTGTTCAGAACTAGTAGGTAGAATCTGAAGAAAATTGAATGGAACACTAGACTTTGATCTAAACTTCTGCATTTTAGAAAATTAAGATAATCTGGTAGCATCATAGAGAACATCCTGACAAGTAACTTCATTGTTAAAATAGTTGATCACTTGCTTTACGTTTAATTAGGTCTACTTATTAAAGCATTTTAGGAGTAGACTTCATTGGGATGCTATGTGACTTTGTTAATTACTGATTATTTTTTTATATACTTTGGGTCTTTTATCTAAGTTCAACTAAAGACAGTGTATATACTATATATGTATATAGAACATATATATATACTAGTGCTTATAGTTTTTCCCTTTTTTTTAGCTTTTCCAGAGTTTAGTGCCAAAGGAAAAATATGACGAAAATGATGTTATTTTAGAGGTGACATCTGGAAGAACTACTGGAGGTCTGTAAAATAATTTTATTGTAAAGAATATAAGAAATATCTAAATTTTACTTTGATTTGACACACTATAACTTTAAAAGTTTCACTTTTGAAGTAGTTACTCATTTCTTAAGGGACCTATAATTAAGAAGGGTTCTCTTAAATTTGTGCCAACTTAATATTTTTTGTGTTTTTGTTTAGGTGATATCTGCCAACAATTTACCCGGGAAATATTTGACATGTACCAGAATTATTCAGGCTATAAACACTGGAAATTTGAACTTCTGAATTATACACCCGCTGATTATGGTAGGTGTAGTTGAGGATTCTGTCCACTGATGATACTGAAAAATATTTTTCCCCTGAGCTTTATTAGGCCCATGTTGTCCTGTTTTTTTAAACATTTGATCTGTATGTGCTAAATACTGTGACATAGACTCATCAATCCCAGTGGCTTACCATAGTAGAGTTTTTAACTGGGAGAAGGGAGTGGGAGGGAGGGAGATATCCTCCCAGAAAGGAATACCTAAGTAAGAGAACATTTCCTTATGGAGGATAGGCATGAACCTTGCCTGGAAAAGCATTGCTTTGTTGTTCAAAGCAAAGGTATGTTAAGGCTTTTACTCTAAAGAACTTTATGACTTATGTGATGTATAATTGGAAGGTTTTCCAGTTAGACTAAGTGGCTAATGATATGTTAGATTTTTATGGGAATGCAGGAGAAGTTAGTCATTAGTCTTTAATTTCAAAAGTTTCCATCTACTTGGACTGATAAAAACTTAAGCAACACAAACAATAACAAACAATGCAAGCCTTTGCTCGTGCAAGTATGTTAAGTATGTTAAATCAGAACATCTGATAGTAAGTTTTTCCCATTCTTTTAATCCACCTGGAAGTAGTTATCTGCTTGGTTACACAGTGGTACACTGTAGTAGACAGAGGGGGTCATGAATAATAAACCACAAACTATCAAAGTGGAGAAAGAGGATTAATGTAAGTTAAACAATCTAGGGAAATGAAAACCAGTATATAGCATAAGTAAATTGTGCTTGGTACAGATTTTAAATACAGCCAGTGAGAGCAGAGGGAAGGAACAACCTGAGCAGCAGCATGCTGGTGGGAAAGATATTGATGTGTGTGTAGGACAGTGAGGAAGCCAACTTCCCTAGGGCACATTTGTGACGAGAAGTAATAGGAAATAGGCTTGAGTGGATAGAGTTTGAACATCCTTGAAAGCTGAACAGACCTTGACAGGGAATTTTATTAATAAAAATGTGACTTGATAAATAGACTTTTAAAATACATTTTTATTGATTTCAGAGAGGGAGTGACAAAAACATCAATGATGAGAGAGAATCATAGGTCAGCTGCCTCCTGCATGCTCCATACTGGGGATCGAGCCCGCAACCAAGGCATGTGCCCTTAACGGGAATCGAACTGTGACCTCCTAGTTCAGTGATGGCGAACCTATGACACGCGTGTCAGAGGTGACACGTGAACTCATTTTTTTGGTTGATTTTTCTTTGTTAAATGGCATTTAAATATATAAAATAAATATCAAAAATACAAATCTTTGTTTTACTATCGTTGCAAATATCAAAAAAATTTCTATATGTGACACGGCACCAGAGTTAAGTTAGGGTTTTTCAAAATGCTGACACGCCGAGCTCAAAACGTTCGCCATCACTGACCTAGTTCATAGATAGATGCTCAACCACTGAGCCATGCCAGCCAGGCAATAAATATACATTATAAGAAGATTATTTTGACACAATCTAAAGAATGGATTGAATAGGTTAGATTTAAGGCAAAGAGGTTATTAGAGTAATCCAGATATGACTGTGGAGTAGGGAGATGTGAGATACCTTCAAAGGAAGAATGGGCAAAATTTGGTGACTGGCTGACCACAAGAGGTGCTATTACTTGCCTAATATGTCCTATGTGCAATGTAGGTTGTTTGATCCTTATAATCCTGTGAGATAGGTATTATCAGTCCCATTTTACAGATAAGGATGTAGACTCAGAGTAAGTAACTAATCCAAGATCACACAATAAGTAATGGCATTCCGAAGATTAACTTTAAGCCTGTCTGATCCAGAGCCACGCTACATACCATTAGTCTATTCTGGCACAAAGGAGATGAGCCACAGGGATTCTAACATTTGTAGCGAGCAGGATTGCAATATTCATTCATGCCATTGAATGGGCTAGAAGTTACAAAGCAGAGCCAGCCCATTTGGTAAGAATAATGATAAGTGGTTTTTTAATTATTAAGCTTGTAGTTATACTGAGCATTCACTTAGAAATATCCAGTAAATTGTAAAGTTTTATAACCAGAGCTTTGGTGAGAGAACAGAATTGAAGAAAGATGTTTGATAGCTGTCAGCACAGAGATAATGTCTGATACTGAGAAATAGGTGAGGGAGAGTCTATAGAGAGGGACCATCCAGGGCACTAAACCTTGGAGAATGTCCACATTTAGAAATATAGACTAGTTAACAAAAGAAAAAGAGGAGTCAGATAAGCAGAAAAAAGATGAGGATGTATAATATGGAAGCAAGAGAGGAGAGAGTTTCTAGGAGAATCTAATCAGAAATAGCAGCATTATAAAAAAGAATAATGGAAAATGTCATCAGTGACCCCTGAGATATATATTTTGAATCCAATTTTCAGGAATTAGAGGGAGATAACTGAACAATAGGAAGAGATCAGTATCTCTTTCAGGTATGTAGAGCAGCCTAAACAATGGTTGGGAAGCCTCTCTTTTAGATATACCGACTCACTGGCAAAATAAAGATATTTTTTAAAGTAAGACAATGTTTTTCAAAAAGCAGACATTTTAAATATTTTACCCATATACCTTTAAAATTAAAGTCTAGGAATAAACCTACATTGAAATTATAATTTTTAAAAATTGATTTATTTATTGTAATTAGGAGAAGAAAACAATGTGGTTAGAAAAAGACTAAAATAGCCCTAGCCGATTTGACTCAGTGGATAGAGCATCGGCCCTCGGACTGAAGGATCCTGGGTTCGATTCCCAGTCAAGGGCATGTACTTGGTACCTCAGTTGCAGGCTCAATCCCTGGCCCCAGTCAGGGGCACGTGCAAATGGCAACCAATCAATGTTTCTTTCTCTGTCTCTCCCCCACACATACACACCACTTCTACTCTCTAAAAATCAATGGAAAAATATCCTCGGGTGAGGATTAAGAAAAAAGAAGAAAAAGACTAAAATAGAGAAAGGGGAAAGCACCTATCTTTAAAATATGCATATTAAATTCAATGTGTCCCCCTCCAAAATGTATATACACTTTAACAGCTGATAGCTCAATTTTTTAAAAAATATGTTTTATTGATTTTTTACAGAGAAGAAGGGAGAGGCATAGAGAGCCAGAAACATCGATGAGAGAGATCAATCAGTTGCCTCCTGCACTCCCCGCAACCAAGGAACATGCCCTTGACCGGAATCAAACCTGGACCCCTGAGTCCGCAGGCCGACGCTCTATCCACTGAGCCAAACTGGTTCGGCTGATAGCTCAATTTTTAAAAAATATATATTTTTATTGATTTCAGAGAGAGAGATAGAGATAGAAACATCAATGATGAGAATCATTGATAGGTTGCCTCCTGCACGCTCCACAGTGGTGATCAAACCCACAACCCAGGCATGTGCTCTGACCAGAAATGGAACCGTGACCTCCTTCATGCCTAACCACTGAGCCACACCAACTGGGTGATAGCTCAATTTTGAAAATGAAATGTATTTCAATAACTGCTGCCTTTATATTCAAAGTGTGTATATATTTGGGGAGGGACCACATATGTGTGTGTGTGTATGTGAGAGAATTTATATATATATATAAATTTAATGAGAATTTATATATATATATAAATTTAATGTTTAATTAACATAGAGGGGAATTCCACAGATATACACAGCACTAGAAGCTGTGTGAAAAGGAACACTTCCATGCAAAATTTTATATATCAAATGACTTAAAGTCTTGCAGGTTTTGTTTTGAGAGCGAGTGAGAGAGAAACATTCATTGATGTGTTATTTCTCTTATTTATGCATTTATTGGTTGATTCTTGTATGTGCCCTGACCGGGAATTGAACCAGCGACCTTTAGGTGCATGGGACAGTGCTCAACCAACTGAGCCACACTGGCCAGGGCTCAAGTCTTTTTTAATGGTCAGTAAGTATGCCTGCCCATTGCTCTAAAAGGAGACACTGTATCTTCCAAGAATGTGAGCAGTTTGTCCTTTGCTCTAGAGCAGTGATGGCGAACCTTTTGAGCTCAGCGTGTCAGCATTTTAAAAAACCCTAACTTAACTCTGGTGTCGTGTCACATATAGAAATTTTTTGATATTTGCAGCCATAGTAAAACAAAGATTTATATTTTTGATATTTATTTTATATATTTAAATGCCATTTAACAAAGAAAAATCAACCAAAAAAAATGAGTTCGTGTGTCACCTCTGACACGCGTGTCATAGGTTCACCATCACTATCCTAGTGGGTGGGGCGTCCAAAGCTGTTCACTATACAAACACCCTCAAAAAGATTTTCTGGAACAAAAGGGCAGGCAGGTTGAACAGAAGAAACTGGTAGAGAATTGTCTCCCAACATTAGTATGAACTCATGAGATATTTTCTATCTCTGATCACTGAAAAGGCCTAGAAACAATGACCAGCCCAGTAAACATCCCTAGCACTCAATTGTGGTCTTAAAATATTCTTTCTCTTTGAAAGGAGAAATAGCTGGTTCCAGTGTGGGGCAGATGTTCAAAATAATCCTGGAATATCTTGTTATATCATTACTAGAGGCCTGGTGCATGAAATTCATGCACGGGGATGGAGGGTGGGTGGGGAGGATCCCATACCCCAGCCCTCTCGCAATTTGGGACCCCTCGGAGGATGTCCATTCCTGCGGATCGGACCTAAACTGGCAGTCGGACATCCCTCTTGCAATCCGGGACTGCTGGCTCCTAACTGCTCGCCTGCCTGCCTGCCTCTAACCACTGGGCCTGCCTGTCTGATCACCCCTAACTGCTCCCCTATCTACCTGGTCGCCCCTAACTGCCTCTGCCTGATCATTCCTAATCACTCTGCCTGCCTGT